TACAAGAGGCCTTCTCATCCAGTCCCCTCCCTTTAAAGAAAGCATTGTTTCCCTGGACTCTAATTGTCTCCAAAGAAGGGAATGCTCCTTCTCATTCTCTCCCTATTTACCCCCTCCCTCTCAAAACTGAATAACTCCAGGAACAACTGAAAGAAAATAGATAACAGATTCCCTAAAAAGAGAGAGAAGCAGCCCAGGCCTAGTGTCTATCAAATCTAAACTAATATTTTGTTCCCCTTTGTGTTTCAGAGAATCTCCACCGAACTTTTGGTAAGTTTTCTCTCTCTCTCTCTGTGTTGTCTCTCTGTCTCTCTCTGTCTCTCTGTCTCTGTCTGTCTGTCTGTCTCTCTCTCTCTCTCTCTCGTCTCTCTCTCTCTGTCTCTCTCTCTCTCTCTCTCTCTCTCTCTCTCTCTCTCTCTCTCTCTCTCTCTCTCTCTCTCTCTCTCTCTCTCTCTCTCTCTCTCTTCTCTCTCTCTCTCTCTCTCTCCCTATCCCAGTGTCTCCAGTTAAATTGTGTTTCACCAGCCATGCCTCATCTTCCTGTTTCAGTCACCAGGAAAATAAGGCCCCTGGCAGACAGTAAATGCAAGGGGCTTGAGGATAGGAAATGGGAATAAGAACATAGTTATTTCCCTACTCAATTTTATTCAACAGGTATGTCACCTTGTACATACAGCACTGCACTGGCCACTGGGATGGGGGCAGGTGGGATGTAAAGGAGGGACGTACATATGATTATTTCATACCAACAATGTAGTCTAAAATCCTGTAAATCAAAACGAACTGGCTTCCTATAACACGGTATAAAGACTGTAGAGTGGGATAAGAGAGGGATCACAATGGAATGGGCTTAGTCAAGGAAGGCTTTTTGGAGGAGGAAAATCTTGAACCATATCAAGAAGCATGTGATTTTGATCATCAGAGAAACAATAGAGGGGAAGGGGACATTAGGTGAACCAACCCAAGGCAGGTATGTACAAGGCTTAAGAAAAGCTAGAGCAAAGGAACCACACTGAAGACTTCCTAAGGTTAAGAGCAAATCATCCTGTGACTTGCTCATTACTGGGCTTGGAATCAGCATACCTGGGTCTGTATCTTATCCTGGTTCTTTCATTTACTAACTGTGACCTTGGACAAATCACTCTATCCCTCTGGATCTCAATTTCATCATCTCTCAAATCAATCAATCAATCACTCAATAAACATTTATTAAGCTCCTAATATGTGCCAAATGAGGAGTCTAAACCAGTGGTGTCAAACCCAAACAGAACTGACTTAGAAAACCACAAATTCACATTATCTATGTTGTATTGTATTTTTATTTATTTTGTTAAATATTACCCAATTACATTCAAATCTGTTTGGGGGAGTTGTACAGGTCTCAGTGCTATTTATAGGCAAGGAGTTTGTTGTTGGGGCAGCTAGGTGACACAGTGGATGGAGTACTGGGCCTAAAGTCAGGAAGACTCATCTTCCTGAATTCAAATCCAGCCTCAGATACTTCCTAGCTGTCTGACCCTGGGCAAATCATTTAACTCTGTTTGCCTCAGTTTCCTCACCCATAAAATGAGCTGGAGAAGGAAATGGCAAACCATTCCAGTATCTTTGCCAAGAAAACTCCAAATGAGGTCACAGAGTCAGACATGACTGAACAATAACAACAACACCCAATCACATCTGAATCTGGTTTGGGAGAGTTCTGCAGGTCTCAATGCTGCTCAGGGGCAGGGAGTTTGATACCTCTCATTGGGACTAATTGTTGCTAAGGTCCCTTCTTACACTAACATTCTTTAATTCTGAGTTCAGAGGAGAGAAACATAACTGTGGGCTGAGCAGATGAAAGCAGAATTAAGGAAGTGGAACCTGAGGATGAAGGATGGGTAGGATTTTGATAAATCGGCAGGAGTTGGGGGAGGATTTACATTTGATACTGTCATTGTGATCATTCTTAGAAATACGAGCTATCCAGATGCATGATGGGTTGTTGAAGAAGGTTCTTAGTCCTGTCTCAGTTGAATCCCTTCATACAAAGTTTGGATAACCACCTTTTGGGGGGGGGGGTTAACGAGGGGTTACAAGGTTACAGGATGGCTTCCAAGGCCTCTCCTTCACTGAGATGCTGTCATTCTGATCCTGTGATTCTGTATTCAGATCCCCATTTCCTGAAAGTCCCCTGCTGGAAGATAACACTTTTTGTGATAGTGCCCGTTCTGGGACCCTTCGTTGCCATGATCATCTGTTACAACTGGCTGCATCGAAGACTAGCAGGTAGATTGTCAAAGTGGGGAACTCATGGGCAATCAAAAATAGAGTCTCCTTAAAATGAGGTGCAGAGGGAAGCTGGGAACTTGGGGGCCAAAATTAAAGAATACTGGAGTCCCACAAACACACACACATATAAACACACGATTCCCTAAGGGTCCTGGGAGATACTTATCAAAATAAGAGGGCAGACATTTCTAGATTCTTGAGTGAAATGATAGCAAGGATTGATCTCTGAGTATTCCAAAAAGAAAGAGGTCAGGGAGGCTTTGGGGGCAATCAGCCCAGGATAGGGATCACCTGGTCAAGAAATTTGACAGTGACCTATTTGTTTCTCTTTCTGTTTTAGGACAATTCCTCGAAGAGCTAAGTAAGTTCCATGTTTCCTCCCATCCATGTGTCTCAATTAGTTTTAACTTTACATTTCCCCATCCACATCTTCTTTCTTCCATTTCATCCTCCAGCAGCATGGGGTTCCAGGTCCCCAGGAAGTCCTAATAACCACAACAGGGATTTTACTAGCATAGTCTTGCCATGCAGTATTTGTTTATTTAATAAGAGCTAACATTTACATGGTGCTTTAAAATTTACAAAGAACTTTACATATATTATCTTATTTGATCCTCACAACAACCCTGTAAGGGAGGTGCTATTATTACCCCCATTTTCTAGATGAGGAAACTGAGACCGAGAGAAACTAAGTAAGTTGGCCAGGATCACAAAACTAGTAAGCATCTGACAAAGGACATGAACTCAGGTCATCTTCCTAATTCTATGTCCAATGCTCAATCTACCGACACCCAGTCTTTCTAATTTTATATTAATTTATGGCGAAAGTCTATCTATACCCCTTTCCTTCACTTTAGATGACTCCTCCTCTAGCCCAGAAGGAAAGGAGTAAGGAGTCTTTCACCTGTGGAGGCATTTCTAGAGAGGAGAAGCCTCAGCCTCCCTTTCCCTTAATCCCTATGTCTCAGAAAATTATTACCTAGGTGTCTTTTTGTAATAGTAGCAAATTTCATTCAATTTAGGATCACAGGATCAGAGATTTAGAGCTAGAAGGGACCTTAGAAACCATCTAGTCCAGCCTCATTTTACAGATGAAAAAACTGAGGCTCATGGAGGTCGAATGACTTAGCCAAAGTCACAAAGATTGTGAGCACACTTCTCACTGGAGATGAGGAATAGCTGGTTACGACCCTCTTCACGGCAGTAACTAACTTAGAAAAACAATTGGCTGCTTTCATTACCACTCCATTCATAACTAGCTGTGTGTCCTTAGACAAGTCACATAACCTCAATGAATTTTGCTATAGATACTATAGAAACGTAAAGTATTACTAGCTAAGGTCTCTTCTGGATCTAAAATTCAATTTTTCACTTCTACACAATCCACAAATTACTAAATTCTTACAAATGCCCTATTTTTCCTGACTCAGGTCAAGAGAGAAGGAGGGAGCCAGAAGGACAAGCAGGCGGGGAGTCCTAAAAACAATCAGCAGATTAGAAAAGAGCTCCTAATCTAGGTAGGAGCAGTCCTCCTATAGGCAGGGAGATGGACATAATATGCAGAGTCTTCTCTGATTCTGTGATCCATGCCATTGAAAAAGGGTAAATCAGTCAACAAGCATTCATTAAACTTTTTTTTAATTATTGTATTATTTATTTACTTATATTTATTTTTATGTTTACACGTATGTTGATATAATTTGTGTTCATTTATTATAGAATTTATAGCATTATTTATTACTATATGTGAGGTATTGTGTTAAGCACTAGGGAGCCAAAAAACTGCAAATGCATGGTCTCTGCCCTTAAGGAACTCAGATTCTAATGAGGAAACAATATGCAAATGACTTTATATACAGAACAGATGAAATGTCATCTCAGAGAGAAGGGGACAGGGGTCATGATAGGAAAGACCTCTTGAAGAAGGTGATATTTGAGCTAAGTCTTGAAAGAACCCAGAGAAGTCAGGAGGGAGAGAATTCTAGGCATGGGGGACAGCCAGTGAAGAAGTAGGAGATGGAGTGTCATGTTTGAGGGACAAGGCCAATGTTGTTGTATCATAAAATATATGGAGGGGAATACGGTGAAAGAATAGAAAGATAGGAAGGAGCCAGGTTGTGAAAGGCTTTAAAAGCCAAAGGACTTTGCATTTGATCCTTGAGGTAAGAAGCCACTTGGAGTTTCTTGAGTGAGGGGAATGACAAGAACATGTCACAAGTGACACGGTGAGACCTGCACTTTAAGAAGATCACTTTGGCATCTGAGTGGAGGATGGACTTCAGTGGGAGAGACTTGGGGCAGGGGGACCAAACAGAATACTTGCAGCAATCCAGGCATTAGGTGATGAGGGCCTCACCAGGGCAGTGGCTACATAGGTAGAGAAGGGAACTTCTACGAGAGGTGTCATAAAGGTAGCAATGACAAGACTGAATGACAAATTTGACGTGTGGTATGAGTGCAAATGAGGAATTGAGAATAATAGTTAGGTTGTGAGCCTGGGTAACTGGGAAGATGGTGGTACCTCTCTATAAGGATAGGGAAGTTGGGAAGAGGGGAGGATTTGAGGGGAAAGATAATGCGTTCTAGTTCACACATGCAGAGTTTGAGATGCCCATGGCACATCCAGTTCAAGTGTCCAAAAGTGGTTTTTTCTTCTTTCAGAATACCCCTTTTGAGTGATGTTGGCCTCCCCTTGAAGCAACAGTGAAGAGGCTGACCAGCTCGATCCTTCACCGGAGGGCAGGTCACTGACTGGTCTACAAGAGAGGTGCACCCTCCAGCACCCTTCTCCCTCAGGATTCCTCACCCATGTGCTGAGGAGAGAAGACATTCAAATTGACACTTACAGGGTCCTTTCTGGACCTCAGGTCCAAAACAGGAAGGATTCTTTCTTCTTCTTTCTGTTGTCCATTCTCCTAACTCCTTCTTTTGCCCTATCCTTCTCTACCTTGTTTCTCTCTACAGTTTCCTTTTTCTTCCCATTTCTATTGCTGCACTTATTTTCTTTGCCCTTCCTTCACTTACCATCCCCCTTCTTTGAATTCTTCTTGACAGCCATCTTCAACTTGATTGCCATTTTGCAGTCCATCTTTAACCCTCAGATAGGGACAGATACTGTGATCCACTCTTTATTGCCCTGGAGACACCAGCATCATGAGGGCAGAGATATCATCTCTACTTCAAGGAGCAGCCCAGGCCTCTCCCCTAAGTAGAAACTCAGGGCCTTTGGCATCACATACAAATTAAGGGCCCAATGAAATGCAAATGAACATTCATTTCTTTCTGCAAAGAGCTAGGGCCTATGTGTAATGCAGGCAAAAGAAATGAAACCTCAGGAGACCTAGAAGGTGAGGCACCTGCTGGGCCTGAAGAGTGCATATGGGAGAGTCTCATGTAGGAACTGGGAGGTCCTATAGATAGGAAGTCATCTCAAGAATCCTAGACTTTAAAAAAAAATCCTAGACTTTAGGTAAGTTTCTGTGATGGTAGTAGATTAATGATAAATCAGAGTGCCTGGGGATTAGAAGTGGCGGAGTTCTGTTTGTCTTCTATACCTCCACTTTCCATATGTATCCTATCCTCTATCTAGTCTTCTTTCTCCCTACCTCCTCATTTTTCATCCTTTTCTCTCTGTCAATCTCTTGTTTATTCAACCACTATTTATTGAATGACTACCATGTGTAAAAGAACTGTGCTAGGTGCTGATTAATAATACTATCCCCTTTCATTCACCCCATTCCTTCTTCCTTTGTGTGCCTCTCTCCCTTCTCCTTCTTCATCTCAACATTGTTCCTTATCACTTCACAGAAGCCATAAAGGTCAGCCTACAGCCCACAGTCTGTACTTTCATGCTCATAAAAAACAAGCACCAATACCTTAGACTGAAAAGGCTCATAGACATATGAGTCTATGAACCCCATTGCTTGCCTTTCTTTAGTCCCTTCCTATTTGCTTTTAACTGGATTCCCTTCACTTTTTTCCACACATACACTCCCAAAGTCATCCCATTTGTCCACAGACCATGCCAAGGAAACTAATATTCTCTCAGTGTATATCAACGGAGAAGGAAAAAAAATTAAGCCACTCATCCCAAGTCACCCATCATAGGAGCTGAGATATTATTTCCCACCCACCTCAAGATCCCTTGTCCTCGTGACTCTTCTAATGGTTGATGAGGCCTTACCTTTTGCCAAGGCAAACACCTAGATAGGGCAGCAACATCATCTTCTCCCAGTGGGTCCTTTGGTGTTAAATGAACTCTTAGAAGCTGAAGCTTTTCCCTATGCTGACAGCAGCAGTAAATTTGTCCCTTATTGGGCACCCTCCTGTGGCCACAAATATGAGCTCTGGCTAATGCTCTGTCAGGATATCTGGAGTTGGAACGTGAAGGATGCCAGGTATGTGCCTCACCTAAGTGGTGGCCCTTTAGCTCTGACATGTCCTAGAAACCTTTACCACACTGAGAACAGTGCTAAGTACAGTCCTAGGAGGGGACCTGACAGGATCATCTCAGTCATATCACACATATGTAGGATTTTTTAACATTAGTAGGATTTTTTCAGAGATGTGTATACTCATAGCGATTGAGATCGGAGGCATCCCAGGATGACACCTCACACTGGAAACAGACATGGAGCCACTCATCTATGTGTACCTACCAGTGATTATCAAAGTGGCAGTGGCCACTGAAGCATTTGCCATAGATGGAACAGGGTAAGGGGCCTTCTGTGGGAGAAGGGAGGCAGGATTCTGGTCATCAGAGCCTACTGAGTGGGAAGAGGTCTCTGGCTCTCCCCTTCCCAAGAACAGAGTCAGCAGTTCTCTCATCTTCCTATATCAGAGCATATGTCTGAAAATCCATATACTTCTTTTGGTTCCTATAGAAGAGTGGAGAGTAAAGATAATCATTACCAGATGACATGTAGTCACAACCCCAACACAAACTCTATATCCTAGCCAATCCAACCTGCTTACCACCCCTGTAATTCATTGTTCCCAATCCCACACCTTGTGTACACTAATCTACTCTTAGATTACCAACCAACTATATATCCTAAGCGTAGTTCCAAACTCACCTTCAAGAAATCTCCCCAGATTTTTAACCATTCCATCCATCCCTCAATCAATATATGTTGGCCTTTTCTACGTCTTACAAAATCAGTCTGGACATCTTTCATCTTGTATCACTCAGCTACCATGTGACAATTTTTCAGTTTTCATGTTTCCTCAATCCCCAACATGGATGTGTGATTTTTGAGATTAAGGAATGTATGTCTTCTGCTTTCTTTGAATCTCATCAAACACCTATTTTTTTAATTCCACAAACAATGGATAACCAATATTGTTGAATCACAGAACTTTAGAGACCATCATACAAGCCTTCACCCAACCTATTCAAACCAGGTGTCCTATTAATCCTTCAAAAGGACAGGTATCCCATAGTATCCCTTGACACTTAGTGCCAGGAATCCTTGCTCTTTATTGCCACAGTGTCCTTCCTTATGAGAATGGCCTTTGGAATGGAGACTTGGGAAAGGAGACTGACCACTAAATGGACCTTGACTCCCAAGTGAAAAAAAAGGGTTTGTGAATTGGAAACAAGAGCTGAGATAGCAAGAAGCTGGAGAGAGAAGCATAATCATGGTTTAAAAACACCATGCTAGGGTTGGACAGGGCTAGCTGCTAAGAGAAAAGCCATGAGAGACTATCAGAGGGTCTTCACTAATCCTCTGCTACAAATGCAAAAGGGAAAGCTGCAGCACCAGGGATCCACAGCGTGGGGTGACGCATACCAGCCAAAGGTCCATGTCTGATCTAGTGACCTTCCACATCCTACCAAGGCCACTTTTCCTAGCTAACATAAAGTACAAATTCAATCATCTCTTATTTGTTACTTTTTCATTAGATTTTATTTACCTACTATAAAAATCTGTTGGCCAACAGAAATGCTAAGCAGTGTATTTGAGACTTTATACAAATAGAGCATAAGAGAAAACATTTCTTATTCTAGGGAGATGTCAAGTTTGGTTTACACTTGGAATTTAGGAACTAATTTAGAACAAAGTGGCAGGAAAATACTGACCTGCTAGCAATAAACCTGGCAAACAAATTCAGAATTCATATATCCCTTTGCTGGCTGTCCTTGCCACTTTATAATCTAAAAGTATATGAACCCCAAATTCAAATGATGCAGGGAGACTTGGCCTTCTAAAGAGTCAATACTACTATCCAAAATCAGCTTCCAAGTTCACAGGTTCAGCCCAAACCTTACATCTCCCTAGAATAAGGAATGCTATTTATCTTATCTGCTATTTTAAAGTCTTAAATAAAATACACACGGATTAGTATTTCTGCTAGCTATGAAAATGTTATAGTAAATCTAAATTGAACATAACAGATAAAGAACACATCAGTCTGCACACTCAGTGAAGCATGGATAAACAGCTTTACTTAGGAGGTGGAAGAAGTCAGCTGATTAGTTTCAGCTGGCTGGATCTCACTCCCCTGAGCTACAAATTGCTGGCACCACCTGTCTTGACTACAGAGTACACTATGAGCTCAGCACAGGATTAATGTACACCTTATGATGGGCTCTTATGGTTTATGTCTCAGCAAATGTCCCTGAAATGCTCCAGCCCTATGCCTCCTGCCTGCAAACTCATTCACCTCTCAGGCCTCTGTGTCTCCTTCCTGTTTGCTCCATTTTCAGGCTTCTAGCTTTTTACTACCCTTTTTCCAAAGGTGAGTAAATAGGGTTGAGCTTGGGAGTCAAGGTTACTTTCTGTCCAGCAGTCAGGCTTCTCCCTCAAATCTCTCTGCTCCAAAGGCAGGCTACACTTATGTCTGACCTAAGTTGCCCTTGCTGCTGATTGAAATTAATTTTGTACTATTGCTTGATGAAGAGAAAGTACGAATGGCTGAATACTTCATAAGTGTGATATATGTGCATATGTGTGATATGTGCAAGCAGAATAAACCCAGCAGCTCAGCAGCACAATGGATAGAGCACTAGGCCCAGAGTCAGGAAGATATGAGTTCAAATCTGGCTTCAGACATTTACTAGGTATAGGACCTTGGGCAAGACCACCTTCTGCCTCAGTTTCTTCAATTATAAAATGGTAAATAATAGTACCTACTTCCTAGGGTTGTTGTGAGGATTGACTAATTTATTTGTAAAGCATTTAGCATAGTGCTTGGCACATAGCAAGCACCATATAAATGCTAGTTATTTTTACTATTATTATCATTATATGCACTCAGTGGGTTTTCCTGAGTGACCCTTGAGATATTGCCCAGGCAATAACAGCTTATACATGGCTCATGAGCCTGCTTTCTACAAGCTTGTAGAAAAGCAGATTGTTACTTTAATAATTAATTGAAGGAAATCCTTACTGACCTTGGTTCAACAGAGGTCTTAAATTATGATAAAAATATGCTCCAAATTTAAGAAAAGAAAATTATCAATGATCATGAGTTTCCATTGCTACTTCTGAGATCTTTCCTTCTCATTCACAAACCTCTGTTTACTACCACTGCTGCTGCTGCTGCTGCTGCTGTTGCTGCTGCTGCTACTACTTACGCAGGCAATCCACAATGTAGCTATACACATTTAATTCTTCAAAGAAAATTAACAAGACATTAAGAGTTATTCCATGCTGCACTCAGCCCTATTGAGGTCTACAATCCTTCCCACTTTCCCCAGGTGATGAAACAATTAGGGGAAGGGTTCTGCCTCTTTAATGTTGTTGTTGTTCAGTTGTTTTCAGTTGTGTCCAATTCTTCATGACCCTATTTGGGATTTTCTTGGTAAAGATACTGAGGTGGTTTGCCATCTCCTTCTCCAGCTCATTTTGCAGAGGAAACTGAGGCAAACAGGGATAAGTGACTTGCCAGGGTCACACAGCTAGTAAGTATCTGATTTGAACTCAGGAAGATGAGTCTTCAGGGGCCTGTATCAATTGGGGCATATAAGTGTTGTGGAAAGGGATTTTGTCCTCACAATGGTTGGAGAGAGTCCAGCTTTAGAGTTGGAGAACTTGGACTCCTACCTCAGGGACTTTTTTTTAAACTGTGTGACTTCACATTTCAGATCTCTAAGGCTTCAGTTTGCTCATCTATACAATGAGAATGTTGAGACTAAAGAATCTCTAAGATTCTTTCCAGCTCTAAATTCCAGGATCCAAATGATAAAAATGAGTCCTAAAAGGAGAAACGAGAGAAAGTACAGAAAATTTGGCTAAAGAAAGACCTGAGGTCACTGTCCATCTATCTCAAAGAGGACCAAAAATGACATCACTGTGCTAGAGTCAAGTGCGTCAGACTGTGGCTGATCAGACCAATACAAGCTCAGAATGCTCTACCACAGGTTGGGCACAAATAATCCATGTGAACATTTGGTGTAGATTCTCTGTGTATCTTGCATTTCTTTTGAGCTGCTTCAATTCTGCTTTGCTCATAGAACACAGCACCTTCTCTGACAAGGACATGCCATGCTGGGCAGTCCTGTGCCAGTGTCTTCCATGTCACACAATCAATTCCAAAGTTCTTCAGAGAGACCTTGTATCACTTCTTCTGACCACCATGTGAGCACTTGCCCTGTGTGAGTTCTCCATAAAATAGCCTTTTAGGCAAACATACATTTGGCATTTGAACAAGGCCAGCCCATCAAAGTTGCACTCTCTGCAACAGAGTTTGAATGCCTGGCAATTTAGTTCAAGAAAGGACCTCAGTGTTTGGTATCTTATCCTGCCAGGTGATTTTCAGAATCTTCCTAAGACAATTCAAATGGAAGTGATTCCATTTCCTGGCATGGCACAGGTATACTATCCAGGTTTCACAGGCATACAACAGTGAGGTCAGCCCAACAGCTCTGTAGACCTTCAGTTTGGTAGGCAGTCTAATATTACTCTTCCTTCTCACGCTTTTCTTCAGAGCTTCCCAAACACTGAACTAGCTCTGGCAATGTGTGCTTCAACCTTTTTGTCAATGTGTACATCCCTAGAAAGTATACTGCCAAGGTAAATGAACTTATCCACCACATTTAAAACTTCTCCATTTGCCGTAACCAATGGTTCCACATATGGATGGCGTGGTGCTGGCTAATGGGACATCTATGTTTTCTTGGTGTTGATTGTTAGGCCAAAATTAGCACAAATAGCAGAGAATTGATCCATATTTTGTTACATCTCAGCTTCAGAGGCAGCATTGAGTGCACAATCATCTGCAAACAAAAAATCACGCACCAAGTCTCCCTCCACTTTGGTCTTGACTTGTAGCCTTTCAAGTTGAAGAATGTACCATCAGTGCGGTATCTGACCTTGATGCCCTTTTTGTCCTTGAAGACATTTGACAACATTGCCATCATCCTAAAAAGCATGGGAGCAAGCACACAGCCTTGTTTCGCTCCATCGGTGACTAGGAAAGCACAAGAGCATCATCCATTATCCAGAACCTGGGCAAGCATACTGTCATGAAATTGATGTACAATACTGACAACTTCTCCAGGCAACCAAATTTTGACATAATTTTCCATATTCCCTCATAACTGATAGTATCAGAGGCCTTCATCAGATCTGCAAACATTGTGTACACAACTTTATTCTGCTCTTGGCATTTCTCCTGGAGTTGTTGGGCAGCAAACCCCATATTGACCGTTCCTTGGCCCTTTCTGAAGCCACACTGGTTCTCAGGGATAGATGACCATCTTCCAGGTGAAGGATCAGCCTATGAAGGAGGACTCTGGCAAGAATCTTGCCAGCGGTGACTAAGAGAGAGAGAACCCCCTGTGATTGTCACAGGACAATCTATTGCCTTTACCTTTATAGAGATGGACAATGGAGGCAGCCTTGAGCTCCTGGGGGATAATTTCTTCTTGCAT